TCACTGCCACCGCCACCATGGCTGTCTCTCAGGAACAAAACCTGATCCTGGGGACACATTACTGGAGCCACTTTCCCAGCTGGCTGTGACAGTCCAGAGCTCCCTTTCCTTGACATTGTAGCCCCTTTCCAGGAGCTGCAGGCGGGCAGGGTTCAGATCCTCACCCGCCTCCTTCTGGAGTGGGGACAGCCACAGATACCCTAACAACTGCTTCCCACTCACACAATGGCAAGGTTCAAAATAATCACCTCATCAAGGAGTCCATCCTGAGTCCTGCACTCCTGGGGCACGGAGGCACTGGCTTGTTAGTGCCGTACCTGCCTCCTCTTTCTAGTCCTCTGTTCTCCACAGTCTAGTTCTCCATATTCTGGCTCTGCACCCTGCACACCCCTGGCATCCTCTGTTCCCAGGTCTGTGTTCAGGAGACTCAGCTACATGCAGCAGTCCCATCTGCCGCTGTGCCCCTGAGAACAGCTCTGCTTTCAGCCACTTCCTGCAGAACAGCACTGCATGCCGTGCTCACCTAAGATGCAGGTGAATGAATGAACAATGAGTGAATGCTGTGGAGCGTGGCCTGAGCCTCGGTCCTCGGTGCCTCTGACATCTGGGTGCTCGCTGGTGTGGCGGAAGTGACTCCGTCCTCTCGGACTGGCTTCAGCTCTAGTCTCCAGACACAACAGGCACTAAACATAGAACAAACACTGCTTTTTTATTTTTTTTTTTTTTTGGTACTGGAGATCGAACTCAGGACCTTGCACTTGTGAGGCAGGCGCCGGAACCACTGAGCTACATCCCCGGCCCAGCACTGCTTTTTTAAAAAATAAAATGTTAAAAGCAGCATGAACTTGAGGAGGGAAAGGGAGGCGAGAAGAGACAGGCTGGACCCCACGTGCAGAGGTCGCAAGCCACGTGCAGGCGGGAGCAGCCTGAAGTGCCCCGTCCACCACCCCAAACCACTGCTGAGTCAGCAAAGCGAGCCCCATGCTCCAGGGGTAAAAATGGGTCAAGACCAGAGTGGGCCTGTGGGGGCTAGGAGGAGAAGCCCAGGCAGACCGCAGACACCAGGTCTGCCCAGCGGCAGGCGGCAGGCCTGGTTCACTCCCCAGCAAAGTCCCCGGGCAAGTCTCCGCCAGGCCCCGAGCCACTCTGCCTGCGGGGAGGAGGCAGACGGAGAGCCTGAGGGCAGGCTGGCCCGGGCCACGCGATCACCCACCCCTCTCCCCCCGCCCTACAGGGGGACCCTGGGGCCACAGAAGGGGTCGCATGTGGCCCACTTGTGGAGCTGGACCAGCCCCCAGGTTGCCAGCCCCCAGCTTGGGGAGTTTGCTGCTCTGCGATGACAGCAGGACCCATCACAGGCTGCAGAGGAAGGAGGCCAGCGGGTCTCTCCTGCGGCTGGGCCGTTCTCTTCGCCACCTTTCCCCAGCGTCCACACTGATCCATGGCTTGCAGTGGCCTCACCTCTCCCCCTCCTTCTGGGCGGCTGTGACTCTCCCGGGTGTCCTGCAGGCTCCCGGTGACAGCGTCCTCTCTGTCCCTCGGGAGTTCCACACCTGAGCCTCCCAGTCACTGTCCAGAGCGAATGTGGTAAGCTTCCCGGGCGCCGGCCCTGCCCACTGCCGGGAGGGGCAGGCTGGTGGCTGCATCCCGAGCACTCATGCGTGGGAGCTGCCCCAGGGACAGGATGTGCCCAGACTCCCGACTGCTCTCTGGGAGCGCATTTGGCCACAGGAAGGGGAAAAGTCAGGAGCTGCAGGGGGGTCACGGGGGACCTGTGAGGAGGCCTGGGCAGCCATCTGTGCCATCTCCACAGCCCTTGGAGCCTCGACTTTGACCCCGGAAGTCAGGAGTCGCAACCGGAAGCCCCAGGTCTGGGACCAAGCCCATCCTCAGTCCTCCTCCAGCATCCTGCTCCAGCCGGAGCTCCAGCTGCACCCACTTGTTCTTCCGTTCTGAGATCCCAAGGGCACAGGTCCAGTTCGTCCTGGGGGCTGAGCCCAGGGCTGCCAGAGACTTTTATAGTGAGTGTTTGGTGTGTGACTCAAGGTTGGAGAAAAACTTAAGGCAGAGTTAAAGAAAAGGGTGAACTGCGACGGCCAAAGCTCCTTGGGCCAAAGGCACTGGCCCATCCCTTCCATCGGACTTTCTTATTTATTACTTAGGGTAAAAGGTGAAGTATGTGTATAAATGTGTAGCACGTGAAATTTTTATGGAAACTAATGTAGGCAAGGCTTTAAAGAGAAGAGTTATTTTTAAATTAGAAGGAAGAGATAAAATATATGGTTGTCATTAAAGTGTTGTTCTTTAAGTTATGAAGGTATTAATTGTGGGAATGGAATTTGGGTGTGATTTATTCTGACTTTAGCTATGGTTGTCATCTTGTATTAGCCCCATAGCCTTGCAGGTTGTTATTTGGTTTTGGCCATAGCCATTAGCGGTGAGGTGGTATTAACCTGTGTGCTGGCGTAGTGTTTCTGAGATATTTTTGTGAGTTATGAACTTTTAGTTAGACTTGTTTTTTAAAGTAAGTCAATTGAGGGATTTAACTTTTTGTAGCCCGCACTGCTTGTAGCACGTTTTGGGCAAAATCAATGTTGCAGGCTCTGGCATCTCGTTTTTTGTTTTTAGAAGATGGATTAGCTGTGTTAAAGAGAACTGAGGTTGGCGTCTTTGTAGATGTTGGTGAATTTTTATTTTTTATACTAGGTTGAGTTTGTAATTTAAGGTTAATGTGTTGTTGGAATTTTTAGTTATTAGTAGTAGTTTTTGTTTATAAAATGAGCAGTTTGAACGAATGGGTTAGGGCTATGGACCTAACCACTGTTTTGGAAATTAACAATATTTTTTAGATTGATTTATTTTATGATTGGGTCAGATGACTGTTTTGGCTGATGTTTGGGAGTTGGTTGGCACTTTGGTTTTGGTGGTGAGCATGGACGGTGCCGCTGAGCTGATTTTTGTTGACGTGCATCTGAGGGCCTTGGGTTGTGAGGGGAGTGGTTTAGATTTAGCTTTTGTATGGCTTTTAGCAGGGGGCCTTGTGTTGTGTTGTTTGGGGATTTAGTTTGATTTGTAGGCCTATGTTTTGGGATGGCAGGTACGGCATGGTTTTTTTATCGTTTGTTAAGACATAACAAAAACCGCAGTCTAACGTTATTAAGGGGGAAGGACCATGTCAAGTACTGGTCTGTATTTTTTTAGAGTATCTGAGGCCTAGCCTTAGTGGGGGACACATTTTGTTGTCAAGGAAGCACGGCTGGCTGCAAGGTAGAGCCAGCAGCAGGGTTTAAAAAATTTAAAACAAAAGTTGTTAAATTTAATTTTGTTTGGGGGGTATTTCAATTATTTTGTTTCTTTAAGTAACTGATTTTCTAAACTTTGGTGTGTGTTTTTTATTATTGTTTGCTTGGGGGAGGTTATAAGGTATATTTGTAATGTGTTTTATATGGTAGGTATGATAAAATTGTTGAGTAACTTTATCAACATATGAAGGTCTATTATTTGTCTTATGCTTTTTGGGACCCCCATGGCAGTAAAGGCAGACAAACAGTGTTGTTGAACATAACAGCTTTTTTTTAGCATGGCAAGTAGCATGAACCATATGAGAATAGGTTTCAATAGAAACGTGAACAAATTGTGTTCTTTTAAATGAGGGGACATGAGTTGCATCCATTTGTCAAATCATATTGCTACTTGAGCCACGAGGGTTAATCTCTTCTAGAGGTGTAGGTCGTGGGAGTTTTTGACACGAAGCACGGGCCATGACTATTTGGAATTGCAGGCGAGAGCAGAGGTCCCAGACCCAGGGTTGTCAGAGAAGAGCCAGCGTGTGACACCCGCACAGTGCGCCCAGAGAGGGTGTGCGTGCCCGCGTTAGCAGGCCAGGCGTGCAGGCTGGAGGCCACAGAGACAGCCTGGCCTGTGGTGTGACCCGGAGGAGGCCCCGTGGTGGGGTCGGAAGCCGTCTTGGGCCTGAATTTCTGTTTGCAAGTCCAGAGGGCCATACCACAGGTATTAGGGTTTGGAACTTGGAGCCTCAACTGGCCACTGGCCTCTCCCTAGCCCACTGCCCCAGGATGTGCTCTCTGCCCACTCTTTCCTTCCAGCCCTGCCTGGAGTCTGCCCCCGCCTTGCAGGGGCAGGGCATGGTACACAGGAGGGTGACAGGGGCTGCGATCCAGGCTGAGGCCAGTTTCCACACTGGGCACCATGACCCCAGGCCTTGGGCCTCCCAGCCCTGCCTAGGAGATCCTCGACCTCTGTCAGTGGAACACAGAGCTAAATGGCAAACTGAAAGCCCACCACAACCAGTCGAGAGAGACTGCGATGAGAGGGAAAGCTTAAGGGGTCCTAATATCCACTTTATTTTTGTTTTTTGTGGGGGTTTTTTTTGGTACCAGGGATCAAACTTGGGACTCTGCGCCTGCGAAGCAGGCAGCAGAACCACTCAGCTAAATCCCTGGCCCTCAATATGCGCTTTGAACTGAGGCCCACAGTGCTGTGGTCTCTGAATGAAACTGAGGATGCACAGAGCCAGGAGTTGGCCAGGCAGGAGCAGGAGATGCTGGAAGGGAACAGGAGATGCCAGATTGGGACAGGAGATGCTGAACAGGTCCAATCTGCAGCAGAGCCCTCATTCTGCAGACCAGGGCTGCCGTACTTCTCAGTAAGGAGCCGGTGGTGATTATTTTCAGTCTTTATGGCCACACAGGCTGCCTTGCAGTGACAGCGCTGCTGCTATTGTGCAAACGCAGCAGAGACAGCACATAACTGATGAGGCTGTGTTCTAACAAAACTTTATTTAAAAGCAGATGGGGCAGACTTGGCCTGCAGGCTGCTGCTGGGTCTCCTGCCATAGACATGGAGTCGTGAGCCATCAGGCAGCACAGAGCACAAGATAGGATGTTCTAGAGAGTGGACTCAGCTTCCTCCCAGAGAGACGCTGGGCAGGGGCGAGGGTGGCCCCAGCCCAACCTGACCACTGGACCTCTCCCCTGCAGCAGAGAGGAGGGTCCGGCGCAGGGCCCGCACCACATTCACACCGGAGCAGCTGCAGGAGCTGGAGAAGATCTTCCAGTTCACCCACTACCCCGACATCCATGTCCGCAGCCAGCTGGCTGCCAGGATCAACCTGCCAGAGGCCCGGGTGCAGGTACGGCCGCCCTCCCCCACCAGGGCCCCAGGAAACCCTCACTGGCTTGGTCTCCCGGCATGGCCGCCCTGGCCAAGGCCCATCTCCCCAGTAGGGAGGTCGTCGTCACGCTTAGCCGCGTCCCTCCTTGGGTAGACACAGAGGAGGCAGGCACCGGGTATCGACCACCTAGCTCTGTGTCTGAGCCCTGCTCCCTGTGGCTTGCAGGCCCCTTCCCATGACACAAGCTGTGATCGAAAAAGATGATGTGCAATTACATGAAAAGAATAAACAGTTTTAAATAATAAATAAATAAAATGTTTATTACAGTAAAATACACACTACCATTAATCCCTCTCAAAATCCTTCCCCTCGCTTTAAACACACCCATCCCACTGTTCACGCTGCCTTCTACAGCAGCTCTGGAGTCCCCTTTCCTGAGTGTCTTTAGTTACACTGTCCTGGCTGCCTCGATGTTCTGAATTGATTCAAGACATTCACCTTTTGTGGTCATTTTGACTTTGGGGAAGAGCCAGAAGCCTTGCAATGCCAGATCTGATGAATAAGGTAGACGAGGACGCAGTGTCATGTTTTTAAGAGCTGCCTTTCCATTGGATAGTGCTCAGTAGCAGCATTCCCACATTTTTTTATCACACCTCCTAAGGACACTGGGATGATGATGAAGACACTTACCCAAGGATGATGGGATGAGTGAGTTTGAAGCGAGGGGGAGTCTTTTGAAGGGGATCAATGGCAAGGTCTTTTACTGTAATAATCTACTAATCTAAACAGCCACTGTATTTTTTGAGCCTCTTGTAGGTCCTGACAGTCCACACCAGAGCCACAGACTTGTTCCGTGCAGGCCTGAGTGGCACTGATGAGAGCTCGGTGGGCACAGGGCCACTGTCAGAGCCACCGTCTGACCCTGCTGAGGCCAAAGGAAACAAAGGAGCTCGGTGGTGTTCCCAGAAAGCCTTATGAACACTGAGACTTGGATTTTTGGGGTGTTGTAAAATATTATTCTTATTTTGATCTTATGCCCAATCATTTAAAACCATGAAAACCGTTCTTAGGTCACAGGTCACTCAAAACCACATGGAGGCCAGGTGCACCCTGCAGGTGCCAACAGCTGACCCCGATCTGGACGCGCATGTGCCCCTGGGGCAGCGCAGGTCCAAGGCCAAGCATGGCTTCTGCCAGCAGCCTGATCACCTGTGTGATTGTCCTCACCCCAGGTGTCCATGCTGCATCCCTGGTCCGGATCCAGAAGCCCCAGGTCACCGCCCCGATGCACCCTGCCCTCTCCACTCAGCCTCGATTTCGATTTTGCACGCACTGGGCTGGCTTGCAAATCCTACCATACCCAGCTGCTGTCCTGTTAGCAGTCTCTCTAACACAGCCTTCCGCATCACTCTCCCTCTTTTTTTTTTTTGTTTTTGGTACCGGGATATGAACTCAGAACCTTGCGCTTGCAAGGCAGGCGCCAGAACCACTGATCTGTATCCCCGGCCCTCTCCATCTTTTTAAATAACTTGCAAACCCCAAACTGGGGCCCCAGCTAGCCCCGCTCTGCCCCTCCCTTTCTGCGCTGGCGGGGGCATCTCTCTTGGCCTCTCCCCTTCCCCCCGTGCAGTCAGGCATCGGCTTGGGCTCAGCACCGGCGTCTGCCGTAAACCAGAATCGAACACCCGCCCCAGAATCATCCAGCCCAAACAGCCGTGTGCCAGGGGCCACAGGGCACCCAGGAGCACAGGGAGGGAGCTGCCCATGCCCAGCCATGGACGCCAAGAGGCTGCGGAAGCTGCCAACGGGTGGCTGCCGGGAGAAGACAGCCGCAGATGGTTTTGATTTGGTCTGCACCAGATTTTGATTCTTAGAAGATTTCATATAAAAATCAAATTTTCCCCACTGGAAATTGCACAAGCCCAAAACACAGGACTCACTTTTGCAGGTGGCGACGGTGGCTAGAGGAGCTCAGAGCTGCTGGCACCCCCATCACCACGCACAGGGTCCCCAGCCAAGCCCCTGAAGGCTGGGCAGCCCCTTTGCTGCACCCTCAGCTCCCTGCACTGTGCCCTGACAGTGCCAGGACGCACTTGGAGGGGTGCAGGACGGAGACCCCGCTCTCACACATCCCCACCCTCTCCTGACCACAGATCTGGTTCCAGAACCAGCGTGCCAAGTGGCGGAAGCAAGAGAAGACGGGCAGCCTGGCCGGCCTGGGCACCCCGCAGCAGCCGGGAAAGGCCGCCTTGGCCCTGCCCCCAAACCCAGGCATAGCTGTGAGTGGCCCGACCCCATGGTGGACGGGGGACATCATCTGGGGACAGCCCAGCCCGAGCCAGCTGTGGGGCCCCAGGGCTGAGTCCGGTGCCGGTCAAGGGGGTCCTTCTGGGAGCACCAGACAAGCACTGGCTCTGTCCCCATCCCTGTCCCCTGCTGACCCCACAGAGCCTCCTGGTACTAGGGGAAGGGCTGTGAGCAGGGTCACAGAGCCAAGGGTGAGCCATGCACTGTCGGCCCCAAACCCCAGCATGCATGTCCTACAGTGTGCCCAGAGGAGTCCCCTTGTCCCTCAGGGCAGTGACAGTTTGGACAACGGTGGGGTGACTGAGACACCAGCAATCCGTGGGGCCCCAGAGATGCGCCCTAACCCTCAGGGTCCATGGGTGCTGTGCTCAGCCGGGCAGCCGTGAGCAGGGCAGGCGGCACGGCCCACCGAGGGTCCCCAGCCCAGGCCCTGAGCTTCCCACGGTGGCCACTGTCCCCACGCGGCCCTGGCTCCAAACCCAGAGTCCGGGGCAAGCAGGGCAAGCACCTGCCCCGCCCAGGCTAGAGGTAGAGTTGGAACTCACTCCTCTCTCCCCACAGGGCCCTGTGCTGATAGCCACAAGGCTACGAGGGCTGGCCGATCCCTCAGGCTGCTCCCCACCTGCCCATGGCCACCCAGCCCCTGCCTGGCTACCCGCCAGGGTCGCCCTCCTGCTCCAGCACCCTTGGGAGATGCAGCCCCTGCCGGCCCCACCCACCCTGCAGCGCCCGACTGCCCTCTGTGTCCTGCCAGCTCCGCCCCCCAGCGGGGACAGTGTCTGCGCCACTTCTACCTAGGCAGCAGTGATGGAATGGCCACAGCGCCGGGACCTCGGGAGGATCAGCCTCATGGCCCAGTTGCTACACCGACCGCGGCAGCGCTGACAACAGAGGACAGTGGGTGCTGGGTGAGGGCTCCGGACGCCCAAGGCTTCGCATCCTCTGACTGTGGGACCCCCTCCGCCTCTGGCCTCCCCTGAACACTAAGCACTGCATAAGGTGACCTCAGGGCCCTTTTCTCCATGAGCTGCGATAGCCAGAGAGCCCTGGGGGCTGGGAAGTCGGTGGGCCCATGCAGCCATCCAGTGCTCGCTGGACGCGTTTCCCCAGTGCTGCTGAGCCGATGCAGCCACAGCAGCTTGGTCCTCCAGGTGGCCGGAGCATGGTGCGGACTTGTGCCCTGGGCTTGAGTCTGACCCTGCCTTTGAGGCTTCAGTGTGGACATCACCGAGCAGGACACACAGCCTCCAGGGTCTGGTTGTCCTGCCGGGCTGGGAAGGCCTGGTGGCAGGTGGTGTGGATGAAGATAAGAAGCCTTTCCAGAGTTGCCAGCTTCCCTGGGGCAGGGGCAGCTGGAAGCCACCTCCCCCGGTCCTGGGAAGTCTGAGATTTCAGTCAGTTCTTTGTGTCCCTGCAGAGCCTCAGTTTCCCTGTGTGTAAAATGGGCCAGTGACTCCCCAGCCTGCTCTGCTGTGCCACTGTGGAGCACTACACTTAATCTCATGTCCACGGGGTCCTGCTTGCTTTGGGGATGGGGCCTCACCTGAGGCTGAGCGGCCAGCAGTCAGGGAGCCCAGAGCCTCTGCAGTTCCCTGAGCCTGTGCCACCCAGGAGCAAGGAGCCGGTTCTTAGTCTCCGCTCCCTCTAACACTCCAAGCAGCCCTACCACGGAGCCCTCTGGGCCTTGGTTTCCACATCTGGGACCTGGAGGTGGCAGCGCCAGCCAGGGCCCAGGCTCATGGTGTGGGCCAGGCATTTTGGCATCACCATGGGGTGAATTTCATCCTATGATCCACTGCCTCCTCCCTTAGGATTTTTCCCCAAGAATTATTTTATTCCCTTCATATGCACGGAACAAAGAAATTGCTTTAGAACCTTAGTGTCACTTGCCCAAGCTCTCGCTGCCCAGTTACTGTGACAGCAAAATGAGCTAGTGCCCTTGGCATGGAGCGAGCACTCGGCATACATTATGAGAAAAGTCCCTTCCCCAAGGCCCCCTCTGCCTTTCTGTGCCGATCTTAACCACCAGGAGCCCAAGCGCCATCCCAGGAGTGATTAACCCAGTTTCTGAGAGGCCAAGGAACACCCAGAAGAGTGTGCAGAATTCTGCCTGGCCATGTGTTCACTTTCCCAGAAAAAGGGCCTCACTGCTTTCATGAGTTTTCTAAGAGCTCTGAGACTTAAAGCTAATAACCACGGAGTCCCTGTGGACACGCCAGCGCCAGGCTGGGCCAGGCTCAGGCCTGGCAGTGAGAACACAGAGAGGTTCAAGCAGAGCTGTTTGCAAAGGTGAAAATCATGTTACTGTTGCCCCAGTTCCAACATGCTCCAAAAGCGGGTGTTGGGAATGTATCGCCATGGACGCAGTGTCAGAGCCGGGCCTTTGGGGGTCGGAGGCCGAGGCAGCTCTGCCCCCGGGGCAAGGTCCATGTCTCACGGTGGAAGCGGCTTCCCCACAGAGGGACAACTGGGGCCTCGCTCTCCTCCGAGCCCGCTTTGCCTTTCCAGGTGGGGTGACTCGGTGAGGCTCTCCAGACGCCAGCCCTCCATCTCAATTCCCGGCCTCCAGAATCACGAGCCAATACATTTCTGTTGGTTGCAGAACACCACCCTGTGGCATTCTGACACCACGGCACAAACTGGACTGGGACAGACATAAAGTGGACAGGCGCTGAGCTCCGTAACCGATGAGGGAAGTGCTAAGGCATGGTAACCAGGTCAAAGGACAGATGCCTGTGTACACAGCCAGGCATGCTCAAGAGGAATCACAGGCATCAGGAGGCAAATAATCAATTTAATCACCCTGGACGCAATTCTTTCTCATTGCTGTTGACAAGAATCATTTGCCTTACTGACGGTTTTTCATTATCTTAAGCTAAAAGTAGCTCGAAGATAATGAAAGGTGCAGACATCCTGGAAGAGTGTGTGAGGCAGAGCCCGTTTGTTACACGGCAGCTCTTCCTTTTCATCTGTAGACTGGCTCTCCCAGGCTTCGCAGGCTGACCTCCACCTCGCAAGTCTCCTGCCTCAGCCTGCAAGTAGCTGGGAGCACAGACCCGGGTCCAGGCCCATTCCCACTACTTTTCATATCCCATTCCAACAGCTTTTAGGTTTCCCACCATACAGTTACTTTATCTCCTTGACTCTCGCTCTCCTGGTCCATTAAATGGGGGCCAGGCTCGGAAGCCAGCCGGGTGCCTCCACCAGTGACGCCTGAAGGTTTGCACACTTGTCAACCCATGGTGCGAATGGAAGAAGCTCCTACTCATTGCTCTTCCTCTAAAACTTAAAAGTTCACATCTGCAAAGTGCTTAGCAATACAGTAACATTTCTTTAATGGCCACTGACCTTTCATGGTTCTATTTTTTAAAAAGCAAACCAAGCAATAGAAAGTGGACAAAAGGCCAAGGCAAGAGTTTCAAAAGAAAACACAAATGGATACTATGCCCGGGAGAATGTTCTCAACCTCGGACATAATTGGAAATGTAAATAAGTAGCAATGATAGACCCACGGCCGCCATCCCTCACCCAGGCAAGTGCGGCTCCTGAGTCGGCCTGAAAGGTGGTTTGGCTCCAGCTCTTCCCAGGCGATTCTCTGACCAGAGACTCTGGCTGCACGAGTGCCCCTGACAAGCTCGTGCAGCTGCGGCCTACAGGACGCCCGACGCTGCCCCACAAGAGCCAACGCGGGTGCTGTTGCAGGCACCTCCCTTGGTGAGTGCCCACTGCGCTGTGTACCACAAGCCTCCTGGGATGTGGGTCTCAGAACGCGTCCCTAGCACCAAGCCACATGGGCTTGCTTGTCCGTCCTCTGCGTCAGAACACACAGAGGAGGTGTGGTAGGGAGGCGTGGAAGCCACTGAGGAGGAGCCTCTGGTGCTAGCTCACGGCTGCTCGGAGCACTGCACAGCCCACATGGGCCTCCCTCTCAGAGATCAGCACTCCACACACCCTGCCTGGAGGTGAGGCTGCCTGCAATGCTTGATCTCATTCTGGTGCGAAGAGACAGGGACCCCTTTGCCCTTTCCACGGCCCAGGTTCCTGCACAGTCAGCTCTCCTGCCTGACGACTCACCAAAGCACAGCTGCTTGAAACCACCAGCAGCCATGTCCTTCCTCTCGACCCTAGTCGGACCTCGGAACTGAGCTCTGCTGGGCTCTTCCTGGGTCTGTGCCAGCCAGAAAGTCGGTGGCCACTGAGTGGTCCAGGATGGCCTTGCTCACAGGCCAGGCTTGGACAGCTGCTGGCCAGGCGACGGGACATCAGGCCCACAGGAGGCTCAGCCGCTATGAACTGTGCCTCACCTCTGCTATGCACTGTGGTCTAACCCAGGCCCAGGCAGCTCAGACTCGGGGACAAATGGTCAGCACCTGCGATAACCCCGACTGGACGCCTCACTCCCACAGCTCCCAGCACCCTGTCCTGGCCGACACCCCCAAGCCTGCCCCTTCCACAGCCTGCCCCTGCCGCAGAAAGAGCCCACACACACTCCGCACTCTCCTCTGACCCCGCGGCAGACCCAGCACTCAGCTGCCTCCCTGACACCAGCCACCGCTGGTGCTGACGCCTGCAGCCACATCCTGGCACTCCCAGCTTCTGGCCCTCGACCCGGCCTGGCCATCCCTCTGCAGCCAAAGACTCGGACGAGAATCCTCACTGGGCCCAGGTTCCTTTCCTTCTCGGGGGAGTCTGTGAGCCAGTGTGGAAGCCCTGGGTCCGTCCCCCCCCCGCCAGTGCTTCCAACCCACCGCGCTGGCCTTCTGTCCACCTGCAGGCCCTGCTCCGGGGCCTTTGCTCTTCTTCCCTCTGCCTGAAGCCTCCCTCCCTAGCTATCACCTGCCTCCCCCTCTCCTGCGCCCGTCTGCACCCACAGATCCCCAGCATCCTGCCCAGGATCACCCACGAGCACCTCCTATCGCCCCAGCTCCACCGTGTAATTCTGACAGTGCTTAGCAACACCTGCAGTCTGCCGCTTCATCAGTCAGCTGTCGCCTGTCTCCCAGCCCTGGAAGGAAAGCATAAGTCTAAGGACATATCTGAAGGGCACACTGCTGTATTCTCAGGCCCAGAGCCAGGCCTGGCACGTGGTGAGCCCTTCACATTTGTACACACGTGCACACACTTTTGTGCCTTCATATGTGCACTGGGCGCCCGCTTTGCTGCCCGCTCCTCAGTAGCCCCTTCTCCCAGCAGCCCCCACCCTGGCCATGAGGTCGGGTGTAGCCCTGGGGCCTCTGAGGAGCTGAGCAGGATTGCAGCAAGGGGCAGGGCCGCCTCCTGTGTGCCCACACACGGGTGCTGTGCTGGGCACCCCGAGGTCCTGCAGTCCACCACACTCGCTCGACGCCCAGAGTGGCATCCAGAAGTCAGCCCCACCTTCAGAACAGACCTTGTGACTTCCACATGCAGACTTACCTTAGGGACAGCCAGGCTAGCAAGCTGGTGATGCAGCTCACCTGGGGGTGCTCAGAGCAGAGAGCAGTGACCCCGGCCAGGCCCGTGTCCCCCAGTGGGCGGACACCCCAGGCAGGCACAACCCTGAACCCAGTCCTGCTCACCCTGACTCAGTGCCCACAGCCAGGCAGAACCCTGTGGCCACTCAAGGATGTCCCTGCTGGAAGCGCGGTCCCCTCCGAAAGCTGCCATTGCCCCAGCCCCTGGAGGACGAGGTGGGGAGTGGTCTCGCTCGGGTCCACCACCCGACACTGGAAACCCTGCCAGACCCGGGAATGGGTGGCCATGTGTGCATGAGCAGCCACCAATGCGTGGAAGCGGAGCCAGCATGTCCGCTGCCTGCGCCTCTCGCTCCCCTGCACTGGCACCTCCACGCACACGCCGCCAGTTCCCTCCCAGCCCTGGCCAGTCACAGCCACCTCCGGGAGGAAGTGGAGTCGCCCCAGACTGCGCTCCCGCAGCCTGGGTCTGGCAGCCCTGTCTGCCCCTCTCGGTGTCCCATCTGTAAAACCCCACTGCCTGGGACCTGTGTGTCTGCCGCTGTCCTCACTGTGACCGATGCCTGAGAAAAGCAGCTTCCAGGAGAGTTTGGCTGGGGGCCCTGAGGCTCTGGTCCACAGTCAGCGACGCTGGCTTTAGGCCCCACTGAGGCAGAAACGCCGTGGTGGGGCACAGGGAGGAGGCCACTCCCCTTAGGGCTGCCAGGAGCAGAGTGAGCCCCGAGGAGGGTCCAGGACGATGGAGTCTGCATCTCGCCCTGCAGCCCGTGCACGGGTGACTCACACACGGTGTCCGGTCCCTGCCCACACCCATCACTGACAGCAAAGAGTCTCAGGGCATTTGGGCCCGAGGCAGAGCCCCCTTCTGACCTCACTCAGACTCAGCGGCTCTGGGGGCGCCGAGCCTCCAGGCCTGGAGGGCACAGCAGTTGTCGAGACCGCTGTGTCCCGGGGAGACTGGAGACCAGGCCCCGTGTGACTCCTCGGCTTTGCGTGGGCCCAGCCAGCTCCAGCAGGAGCTGTTCCTAGTCCTCCTCTGCTCTTGGCCAAGCCAGCCTCCCACAGCACCGTGGTCAGCGCGGAAAGGAGCCACGAAGATGCCCTGGACACAGGGAGACTTCACTGACGTGGGCGATGTGGTACATGGCACCCTGAGAAGTGTCCTCGCCCAAGAGAATGGAACTCGCCTTCAACCACTCTCAAGACTCAGCTACACACCACAGGAAGTGTAGAAGTCAGAAGAACTGAACGCCATGAAGACAAGTCGGCATCTGCTGAGCAGAGGACACTGTGTCTCCATCAACTCGGTGTGGGAGGAGGGCAGAGCGGGCTTCTGCGGGCATCCTAACCCTGAAGAGCCCTGGACACAGTCAGAGGACTCTGAGATGGGCTTAGCAGCCCTCCGAGCTGGAGAAGCACACCGCACACTGAAACCCAGGCGAGAGGCCTGCGTGGAGGGTTTGCTCGAAATCCTCCCGCAAACACACACACACACTTCATACCCCACACACACTCACACACAGAGCAGAGCAGGGAAGGTAGGAGTTCACTAACAGGCAGAGGAAAGCTACTAGTCGTTAAGTCCTGCCAATGGCCATAAGAAAAATGTAAACATTTAAATGTAGTCATTGGAAACGTTTACTTTGAAAAAGAAAGAAAAGGAGGGAGGGAAGCAGGCAGGCCAGGAAGAAGGACAGAAAAGGATCTGGGGACAGGAGTGCTCAAAGCTGGCTCCTGCAGGTCCCAGGAAGGACGGCGTGGGGCGCCAGGGACCTCAGGTGGGACTGGTGGTGTGGGATGGGAGCAAATGCCTCATGTGGCCCCACGGGGCAAAGCAGGCGGTGGGGGGAGTGCAGCCCTTCTGAGGTTGCCGAAGGAGCTGTGAAGCGTCCAGCAGTTGCTCATGGTCGGCCCTCCACAGCCCAGGACCAGCGCTGGCCGTCGGAGCCCTGAGTGACAGCGGCCCAATCCTGCCCTTCACCCGTGCTCCCTGCTCCCTTCCTGCTGCCCAGCGTGCTCATTCTCCCCACCTGCCCCCGGGGAGCCGAAAGCCCAGAGCTCGGACCTGATAGACGGGGACCACGGAGCAGCTGCACATCACCTTCCACGGTTCCCTCCCCTTTGTGCCCATCCACTGTACTCCATCGGGATGGTAGTGGCAGAGGTGCTGAGGTCCTGCCCCTGACACCATCCTGTGATGTGGGCATCAGAAGCAGAGGGGGCGGGAGGGACCTTGCCTGACGTCACATAGAAGACATCTGACGCAAATCGAGGTTTGCCTGATGCTGAATCCCACTACATGGGATTGAACCCAGGGCTTCATACCGAGCTACAGCTGCAGTCCATTTGTTGATTTCTTATTCTGAGGCAGTGTCTCACCAACCTGCTAAGCTGCCCTGGTTGGGCTCTAACCTGCAATTCTCCTGCCTCAGCCTCCCAGGGTGCTGGGGTCACCTTCATGCACCACTGTGCTGCTATATAATTAAGCTATCTACGTAAACTGTATGCATAATTTATGACGCATAATGCTGCGTGGCGCATCTGTGTGTGCAGTGTGCATGTAGCCTCCCATCCTTCCCCGTGTCCGTTCTTTGTAGCACCGCATCTGGCCTGCAGTAAACACTCAACAAACACCAGCTGAGTGACTCAGTCCTGCACTGGGACGAGTCTCCAGTCTGCCTGTCCCCACGATGCCCCACGACTGTCAGCGTCAGCACAGCTGGTAAGCCCACAGGACTGGGCTGTGGAATCCTGGAAGGGACAGGGGAACATCCTCGCAGAGAGCCCAGAGTGGCAGGGGCTGCCCAGGCCGAGGTCGCCAGGAATTCCCTGGGTGGCGGAGAGGCCGGAGAGGCCGGACCGGACCGGTCTGGTCTGGGGGAAGAGGCATCCCCTCCTGGCTCCCTCGCAGTGCTCCAGGGCCCTGACCTCTGAGTGACCCTGGGCGAGACCTGCGCTGGGAGGAAACTTACAGCCCTGCTATCTCCTGGAGGTAATAAAGGCGGTCATTTGGTGGCAATTAGAACCCTAACCAATTGAAGTCATTTACAGCTCCCAACAATTCCCCTGGCTGTTATCGCCAGAACGCTGAGATGTTATTTGAGGGGGTCATAAAGGCATGGGGTGGGGTGGCAGGAAGAGAGATGGCTGTGAGCCACCAGAGCCCACAGGTCCCGGCCCTCGCGCTGGCCTGGAGCTGGGACCCACAGCAGCAAGAGGAGCCTGCCAGGGCCCGGGCTCTGACGCAGAGACGACTCGGCCCAAGTGAGGAGGGGCCAGTGGCTCCAGCTCCGGAGCGGATGCGATCCCAGGGTCCTTCTCCCCCTTTTCCTGATTTGCCAGTCCCTCTTCTCAGCACACAGTGATGGCATCTGTCGTGGGGAGTCGGCACCTGCGCACAACTCACCTAATTCCCACACCCCCTGCTCCTTCCAACTCTCGGTCCCCTTCCCTCCGAGAAAGCTCTATTTTCTTTATGATTTCCCCCTTCAGTTCTGGTTTTTTCCATCCCTTTTCCCTCCCCTCATTCTCCCTCCCTCTGTCTCTTGTTCACGCATCCATCTGAAAAGATCTCCCAGCTTCCTGTTCATCTCTGTCAGAGAGTTTCTCGTACAGGAGAAACCATGTGATGTTGAAGCTTCGGTGTCTGATTTATTTCACTTAACATTATTCTTTCAAATTACATCCATTTGCCTATGAATGCCTCAAGTTTATCTCACTTTATGGCAGACTGGAACTCCATTGTGTGTAAATCCATTCATCTGCTGATGAACATATATGCCGTTCCCAAGACTGAGCTATTGTGAGCTGTGCTGCTGTAAACATGGGTGTTCATGTGCCCTGTAATAGGATGACTTCAATTCTTTTGGGAAGATATCTAGAAGGGGAATAGCTGGGTCAAATGGAATCTCTAGTTTTAGTTCTTTGAGGAATCTTCATACTAATTTCCATAGTGGTTGTACTAGTCTACACGCCCACCAACAATGGAGAAGCATTCCTTTTCCCTACAGCCTCACCAGAATCTGTTATTATTTGATTTCTTGATGATGGCCATTTTTTTGAGATAACATAGTGCCTCTGTATAGTTTCAATTTGCATGTCTCTGGTGACCAGCAATGTTGAGCATTTTTCCATGTATTTACTGGCCACCTGTGCTTATTCTCTGGAAAAGTGTCTATTCCATTCACTTGCTCATTTTTCTTGGTTATTTTATTTCAAAGGTCTAATTTTTTGAGTTCTCTATCTATTCTACATGTTAGTCCTCTATCCGAGGAAATGCTGGCAACATTTCTTCCCATTCTGTAGGTTGTCTCTTCACTCTGCTGGTTGTTTCCTTTCCTGTGCAGAAGCTTTTTAATCTGATAGGATCCCATTTACCGATTCTCGTTATTACTTCTTGTGCCATTGAGGTTCTGTTCAGAAAGTCCTTGCTTACGCAAGAGTTGTACTCACTTTATCTTCCAGCGGACTGTTTGCGTTTTCACGTTTAGATCTTTGATCCATTTTGATTTTAGTTCAGTACATGGTGAGAGATATGGGTCTAATCTCAATCTCCTACTTATGGAAATCCAGTTTTCCCAGCACCATTTATTATTGTCTTTTCTCCAGTCTGTGTCTTCTGCACCTTGGCCAAAGATCAAATAGTTGAGTGTGCCTGGGGGTGTTTCTGCACCCTCTGGTCAGCTCTGCTGATCCTCATAGCTATTCTTGTGCAAGTACTGTGCTGTTTTTATCACTGAAGATTTGTAACATAACTTGAAATCCAGGATTGTGATGCCTCCTGCTTTGCTCTTGTTCCCCAGGATTACTTTTGCTATTCTGGTTCTCTTCTGATTCCATGTGAATTTGAGGATTATTTTCTCTCAATCTGTGAGACTTGCTGTTGGTATTTTGATTGGGATTGTGTTAAATGTGTGTTTCAGTTTTGGAAGTAAGGCCATGCTGACTATATTGGTTCTGTGTATCCAATAACAGGAAATGTCTTTCCACTTTCTGGGGTCCTCCTCCATATCCTCTTTCAGAGTACTGCCGTTTTCATTATAAAGGTCTTTCACTTCCTTGGTTAGGTTCATTTCTAAGTATTTATCTTTTCTTGATGCTATTGTTAATGGCATTGTTTTCTTTATTTCTTTCTCAATGAGTTCTTTAGAGTTCTTCTCCCTTGACAGACAACTTGCTGCTTCCTGGATGAGCATGCACGTAGCACCATGGGCCACTCTAACACCTCAGAACAGTCCCCACTGGGTCCTCCTGAGGGCCTAGGAGGTCGCTGTGAGTGTACCCAGGGTGTCAATGGGAAACTGAGGGACAGTTACAGATACTGCTAACGCTCAGCAGATGCCAACTGCATGGTGGCCACTATGCTGGGATGGACATTGCCAGGAGATGTGGGTAAAGTGTTCCCAGTATCCTGTGTCCCAACTCCACTGCCCAGAGCATCTGTCTGTCCCTGTGAGTTTTCAGCAGGGAGCCATCCAGTGTCTGATGGCTTGGCCTCCAAGGCAGGAGGCCATGGAGAGCCCCATCGTAGAGGAGAAGAGCACACTGATATGGCTTACATCTGGATGTCCTCCAAAGCCTCATGAGCTCATAGATGGACCTTTTGGGAGTGACTGGATCACGAGTGTGTGGGGCTGGATCACGAGTGTGTGGGGCTGGATCACAGGTGTGTGGGGCTGGATCACTGGTGTGTAGGGCTGGATCACAGGTGTGTGGAGCTGGATCATGGGTGTGTGGGGCTGGATCACAGGTGGTTGGAGCTGGATCACGGGTGTGTGGGGCTGGATCACGTGTGTGTGGAGCTGGATCACATGTGTGTGGAGCTGGATCACGAGTGTGTGGGGCTGGATTAGTCCACTGATGGGCTTAGCATAGTTCTTGGTATGGGTGATAGATTTAATGAAGATGAAAACCCCACTCTGGTTGTTAGTGACACTCACCAATAGTCTCTTGGACTGGATGGAATATAATGGAAAGGCTGCAGCTTCCTGCCTCCCCTGCCATGGGCTGTTTCTTCTCTGCCACGTCACCCTGCCTTAGAGCCAGTCAGCAATGGACTAAAACTGCTACCAACTGTAAGCTAAAGTAAATCTGTCCTTCTTTACCTTGTAGATGTCAGATATTTTGTCCCAGAAATGAGAGAGTAACTTAAGATGCACTCGAAACACAGTGTAGTTAGCCGGGTTATGCAGAGCCCCAAAGACTGGTATCTGCTCAGGATCTAACCCTTCCATCTGCATCACAGCATGGCACAGTTGGATTTTAATGCCCAGTGTACAGATTGTGAAAATGAGCTCAAGGAAAAGTCTTTGACTGTCCACAGCAGCATTTCATCCACCGTGACCCACACACTGGCTCTGGGGGCCACAGCCAGGGCTTCTAACCTTCAAGACCTCATCTCCTTATGGGCTATTTACTGGGCCTTGGATTTAATGTGCCAGCATTGAATAGCCCTTGGCCTGATCATGAGAACCAGGCAGTGTGCATACACCTTCACGGTGCCATAATAGAGGGAAACAAGCAAAGGTTCCCCCTACTCTGAAAGGAAGTTGTCAGTATTGCAGACATGCATTTAACACATTTCCCCCTGCACTGAACATGGGAGGAATTTGAGGGGAGGTTGTGGGGCAAACAAGGGCTTCCCTTAGTCTCCTCTCGCCTTGTACTGCAACCCTGTAGGGAGCTCACCTTTCTCGGCCTTGGTGTCCCCTGGTTATGCCGCCTGTCGGCCTGGGGTATGGACTCCTGTGTCTCCACGACCTTCTCTCTGTGGTGTGGCGTGCACCCCATCATGGATGCAGACGGCAATCACATGGGCGCATGAAGGCACCTATGGTCATGCCCGGCATGTGCTCTGCTCTGTAGCAGCAGCTCAGGGTAAGCTGAGGGTGCACATAGATGCACACAACTGCAGCATCACTAATGCTGGACAGTTTGACCTCACTGGTCTCCTCTACAACCGCCAGTGTCGATTTCATTGTTTGGAGAAAGCATCATTTGAACCAAGGGCTCAGGGTTTCCCAAAACTGCCAGAGATCCCATGGCTCAGAAACTTGAGCCCTCCCCGCTATCACAAGTCCCTAGGATCCCAAAGCCCTTCCGCCTCCAGGCTGCTGTGGGGCCTGAGCCCCACTCCCCCATCCCGCACCCCACATGTCCAACATAGAGAGAAAGCTCCCACATTACAGCACCATGGTCCTCAAGAGAGACGCAGCCCCACTAGAGGGCTTGGCCACTTGCCTTTCAGAGCCAGGACAGCACCTGCTCTGCAGTCATCTAGGGGCCTCCCAGGCCCAGACCTGAAACCCCAAGGCCGGGAGTGCCGCTCAGAAAAGCCCGAAACACTCTGCTGTCCATGGACCGGACTGTGTCACCCCCAGGCTGCCTTCTATGGACAAGACTGTGTCCCCCACCCACGCTGCCCTCTGTGGATGGGACCGTGTCCTTTTCACAGCATGGAACTTATGGCTCAGCCTCAGGCTGGAAATAAACAAAGGCCATCCCTCCACATGCAGGGGCTGAGGCTACATTGCCTGGTCGGATCCTCCCCAAGAGCTGTAGGTCACATGCTCCGGGTCTCATGTGGGGACAACCTCAAAGCAAGTCCACTCTTGTCGCCATCCCCAGCCTGTCCTCCATCTGGGACTGCAGCCCTAAGAAGCGGCATCTTCCTCAAGGGGAGGGAAAGTCTGGATTCTGGTCCAGCTTTCTTCACCTGCTGCCTGCAACCCGGACAGGGGTCCCCAGGTGCAGAATGGGAAGGAAAGAGTGAATGTCCCTCTCTTGAGGGCTTGGATACCACAGGAAACCCCAGTAAAAGACTTTAGGGAGGGACCACCAATAAGTCTCACTTCCAGCAGTAGTGGGCCTCATAGATAGCCCAGCGGTCTTCTCTGAAAAGGAGACCTTCCTGAGGGGCCGGGGGCTGGGCCTTCCTGAGCATCAGGGCCATGTCCAGCCTCAGCCCACTGGGCAGACCCTGCCCCTCCTGCATCCCGCTGGCCCAAAGCCGTGCAAACCCCAAAGGGGACAGTAACATGCTGGCCCTGCCTCTCCCAAGAGGCTCTGGGGGCCAAGCCAGCTCCAGTCCCCTTGGAAGAATCCACTGTGCAAATGGTTCCCTTACACAGCACTCGTGCAAGGCCTTGGTTCCCCGAGCAGGAGGAGACAGAGGCCAAGCCCCTCACCCCAGGGTCCAGGGCGGGGTTGGAAGGACTTTGACCCTCAGCTGCAGGACATCCAGGTAGAAGGTCTGGAGCCCCCCAAGACCTCTCCAGCTCAGCCCCCATAAGCTCCCCAAAACACTCACTCTAATTCCAGCCACAGAAAATGACAATCCTGGAATACATGACCCTTTTTATCATAAATTTGCCTTTAAATAATTGTATATTCTATGTAATTGTAAGAAACACACAAAGACCCGCTGCGCCCTTAGCCTGTCCTCACTTCGACACTCACAGCCAAGGCTGCAGGGGCGAGGGTGGGGTTAAACATGCCCAGGCCAAGACCCCAGGGTGGCAAAGCTGGTGGGGGAGCTCAGAAAGGGGGTGAGGCCAGCTCCTGCTTGGGGGTTCCCAGAGGGCTCCTGAGGGTCAAGCTCAGCA